GGTATAGTAATAAATTGATATTTATTTCACAGTATTAATTATCCTGAAAAATCGTATAATAATACGTCGTGTATATACTCAAAGCAATTAATTTATAATTAAAAAAAAAAAAAAAATATTTATATATACAATTTAATCGGGAATCATGTCTGGAGATATTGTCAGATTAAAAATGCATATTTTTTTTTATCTCACGCATAATTAAAAAATTAATTATTTTGTCCAAAAACACCATTTGAAGTCGTTTAATATTCATAGAAAATTATTTTCTTGGTAGTTTTTCGTCTAAACGATCCTTGTCCGGGTCTGGGTGTTTTCTCCAGAATTTCATAATGCTACAAAAATTTAAACAAAAGGACTCGTAATAAATTTCACGAAAATTATATACATCTGTAATTAAAATTTAATGATTATATAGTAAAATTATATTTAGTCCACTTATTTGGATGAATAATAAAACAAGATACAAAAAAATCAAGTTAAAATTAGTGATGAGGACGACCGAAAAATGAATCGTTAGATGTATTCGATAGATTAGTACTATTCCAATTTTTTTTTTAAACATTTGATGGTTTCCCGAATGGTTAAACCAAAGGATTGAAAACTGTCGAAAATATAAAATGTTCGCAACTGCCCAACACTAGTTCAAATATATTTGGTTTAAAACAATTAAATAATAGTCAACATTATTGCAAGTTTACAAGATTTCCTATACGTTTTTTATTTTTCTTTGAATATACAAATATATTATTTTTAATTATATTTTCATAAATAATACGATTAGATTATTTGATGTCTGCGAGTTTACGAATACGCTAGAGTATAATCAAATCGTTTACATTTTATGACACAAAACATTTTTATATATTTTTTTTTATATATATATATTTTGTAATCCATCACGGAAAAATGTTCTTGATATGTTTGTATAAAACGTGATTTATTACACTCATTTATTTTAACATAATTTGCATTTAGAAATAAAGATAATTTTGGCTACAAGAGGTTTTCCTTTTACTTTTTTCCGTAATATATTTTATATATTTATTTTCCGTCTATATAGTTTATATAATTTATTCACATAATTGATTTTAACGTATGATTATATTACATTATTAAATAAATTATATCACCCGAATTTACGGTTAATATTATAAATTAATATGCCTTTACACAATGGCAAAGTATTCTAAGGCGATTAACAAGAATTGATATTAAAAGGTATATTTCATAATAAATCAAATAATTATATATATATATCTCTTTAGTATAGATATAGTAATACGATATTATTAAAATATTATTATGTTTTATGCTGTATTGACAGAAGTATAACGGAAGACGAAAAAAGCAAGTTATAATATGTAGGGTTATATGAGGGAAATGAGCTTTTTAAATTAAATATCACTTATTATTAACCGTGAACAGCGTTGGACTCAACGCCAGGAAAAACTGCTTGAAGATATATTAAACGTGTTAAAAATTGTAATATTACACGGATGTGAAACCTAGATTGCAGTGAAAACAATAGGGATCTTTTCCCGGGTAAAATGTTCAAGATTTAGAAGAGTAACAGAGTTATAATTTTAAAAGTTTTAAGAACAATAATTTAAATGGAATAAAGGTTAATACTGTTGATTGGTGTGCCACTATTTTAAGAGGAAAGTTGGCCGAGGGGATATATAGACTATAGAGTAATTATATTGATACATGTACGCAACAAAAATATCATTTTTAATGAAAAACGTTTCTTGAGAGCGTGGTTTTCTATTGTTTCCAAGGTAACCCAGAAATAAAAAAAAAAATTACCACCTAAATACAGCAAAAAAACAGATATACTACAAGAATGTTCCTACAACATTTTTGATTGGACAAGGATTTCTGGTTGAAAAGTTATTTAGAGGCATATTAAAATAACATTATAAATTGTAAACCCAATACTGAAATTCAACTTTAGGAAATTATTAAAAATGTAAGGCACAATATAATGTGTTCCATCAATACACCATTATATATTGTTGTAAATATTTATTGTATTTATACCATAAGTTCTAAAGGATATAACTGATTTCAAATTTATTAAATGATTTGAGTTTAAACTGAAAAACGCATGGACAGTTCTAAATTTGACCAATAGAAAGTCAAGAAGAAAATATTTCGTTGTATCGTATAATTGAAATTTGCACAGAAAATAAAAAGTTAAACAATTTCACGTCATCGTAGTTGTATTGCGTATTATTGTCGGTATTACGGGAAGACTCGTACAATTTCTTCGGTGACGGACACTGACTGGTAAACACGACCACGCAACACACTATATTATTGTCTATTGATACGCATTTGTAAGGAAACTTTTTTTCGTCTGGCGACATTTTATAAATCACTTTCCTGTGCAATCAATTATACCCGTGCCAAACATTCCGGTGAACATCCCCCTAGTCTCTGAGTACCTGGTACCACAGCCCATTATATTACACCCTGCATGCATGGATACACATTACACACACACATACATTCACATCATATGGAATCAATGACTGCGGCCAGTCATAAAAATTGCATGCATATAGTAATACACATATATTATATTATGCCAAAACTCTTCCGTTCTAGATTTTTTTTTAGTATTTTTATTGTATAACTAATATAATATAATGTTTGAAGACCATTTTTTTTTGGTGGTAAAATCGAGACGTTCATTATTTTTTTTTTTTCAAATTTTTCCCATAAATATAGGTTATTTCACTTTATTGAGTCTGTTATTTCATAATACTATTAAAAAATTATTTGAATGTTACTATTTGGACCAAATATTGCGCTTGAAAACAGAAATTAGAGGTATTAATTAATCGGATTGAAGTGATACAAGTTGAATTCAATATGAATCAACTATTAAAGATGCACATTTTTTGGGATTTTAACATTCAAACCGATCAAAAGTTAGACCTAACCTAATCGTAATTAAAAGTAATATAAATCTGAAAACCAGAATTTAAGTCATGAACTATTTTGGATCAATTTAAAAAAAAAAAAAATGATACTATTTCATTTTTTTTTTTTGCGATGAAAAAGCAGCTAGGAGAAAATTTGATTTAAGCGTTGGAGGTCTGCTAGTTACATACATATTTATATTTATACATACATTTTATTTTATAATAATTTTATACCTCAATAATCGGCGATAATCGGCGCAATATATAGGCAATTCTGGTACATGACTGCGTAGGGAGCTAATCACATTCTCGGTCCGATATGATAATATTCTTGTCACCACACCCGAGCGCTATATTCTTTTGTACTTATTTTATGGAATTTAAATTTGATCGATATTGTGATAGTTGAGAAATTCACTTTTGTGATAGGAATAAACTATCGTCGTGTGATTAGTGTTATATTGACTGTTGAACCATTATGAACGCTTCTATTATATAATTTTTAGGTACATTTGGTAGTAAATAACTACTTTATCTTGAGAGTGATACCTATTATAGCGTGATGATATGGGAACTATCGTTTGATATTACTGTCATGGAGACATAGTCACACATGTTTTCAATTCCATCTTAGTTCATGAATTCGTTCTTTACTATCATTCCGCGTAGAATCTGTCTTTTAACAATGTGTTAACCATTGTATGCTATCGCGGAGCAACTATCATGGTTGTAGCTAACACCATGTGAACCGAGTGTTGAACATGATCAAATTTAATGACACGGTTAATAAAAGACACGGTTCTTCAATATCTCTTCATCTCCATAACAATAGCATCGCACTCAAAATATTAAATTATTTTTTCTTATATTATTACTGGGAACATTATTGTATACTATTTCGTCTCGTTATTCTTTTTATCTAGGTAGATATACGTTTGTTTACAATATTTCTTGATAAAACTTATGCTTGAAAACGGTGTTGGAAATTAATATTAAACTTTGGTAAATTTGACGATATTAATTTTTAAAAATTATTACAATTATTTTATACGAGGAATAATGTTGTGATGTGCGCGGTTAAATATTTACCTTTTGACAGAAAGTAGTGTTTTTGTCGTTCGTATAATGATATTAGTATATTATAATTCTATAGCACTATAAAATTTAGAAAACATATTTACATTTTAAAATTAGATATTAAATAATGTAGACGATATGCAATAGACGATAGATTAAAAATAATATCAAGGACTTATTATAATATACTTTGCCCATTTTGTTGAAAAAAAAAAAAAAAACACAAAATACAAAATTTCTTTCTAGTGTTGTTGTATAATAATAGCTTATGAAGATGGAAGGTATGAATGAATTTGATTTTGGAAATAAAAAATATAGTTGGGGCAAATATATGATATACATAATGCTATTAGGTAGGGGGACTCGTATTTGATTTGTCGCGAAATGTTTCATTGTGTAAAACGCTATTAACGTTTCCGTTGTTTTTGAAACCGGATAGTGTTGGTTTTTCAACGACTAAATAATATTTACAATACGATTACCGTGATAAAAATAATATTTCAGTCGATGGAAAAACAAAAAAAGGAAGTGGCCTGGTACTGTGTAATAATAATAAATTGACTGCTGCTGCTGATGCTTCTATTAGTTGACATTGATGACGGTGATGCGTTGGTAGAGCAGCAGTGGTGGGGTCTTTTACCGGAAAATCTGATTATTTAATTAAATGGTAAGCGGGGCCTTTGATGCGATAAGGTTGTGCATAATTCAATATTGACCACAAGGCCCTTTGAAGTCCTATTACGGCACGGAGCTTTTAATGAAATTATCGTTGAATAAGAGGTGGTTTGATCCGGTCGTACGAGTGTACACGAGACTTTGCGGTATGAACCTGCACGACGTTGGTGTACTTTAGATGAAAAAAAAAATAAAGAAAAAAACCATTTACATTTGAGTGACAAACTTTATTTTAAAACAACCGTATTATTCACTGCAGTACAGAAGAAACGCGTATATTGTACGCGCGTTAAGCAGAAAAATACAATGTTTTCTTTGCGAAATGATTGTGGCTCGTTATTTTAGATTTTGTTGACGGTGATAAAAACGGTCTTGGTGGCGATGGTGGTGTGCAAATTTAATTCTGGTTTTGAAATCACCACAGTTCGTCGAGGTCATTTATTATTTCCTATATAGAGGCGTATATTTAATGGATCCAAAGGAAATAAGAATATAGTCACTCAAAATTGAGTTTGGCTTTTTGGCTTCTTAAAACTAAATGGCTTTTAGCCTAACCTAATTGGAACGTGACAGAAAATCTTTATTACGGGGATAAATTAATAAGTTTACCGAAGTTAAAAATTATAGAGTAATAAATTTCTACTGATTAATACTTTATTATATTTAAAATTTTTTGCTGATTAATATTTTTTTTTACTATTATGTTGTTTTGCTTGTGTATAAACAACTTTTGGACCAGAAATATTGATCCAATCAAATACATTGTAAATACTTTTTTTAACGTTTTTAACCTATTTGGTATACTAGAAAATATTTTTTAATTTTACACGTAATTATCAAAACAAAATCGGAATAATTTCAATTTTGTATAAGTTTATTTATTTTCTGAATAATTTTCCGCTCAGAATCGTTTTTAGCTACCAATGGTGTATTTTTGTACAAATACAAATTTAATAAAGAATCATTCAATTTAAGTATCATATCTTCTAACTTTCCTAGGTAAATAGTTTTATATCCATCAGCAGTATCAGTTTTTTTATCGATTCGTTTTTTTGTTATTTCGATTTTTAGCCATGTATATGATAATTTAAAATTATGATATTTAACGTTTTAAAGTATATAATATAATGTAAAATGTCATTATATTTAACTCCGTATATTATATAATGGCTTGTCAACGTCACTGTCACATTTTTATAGAACATTTTGACAGTTCAGGGTCTTTTGGTGTATACGCACGTTCTTAATGTCCTTCTAACATATTTTTAGTTTTTATACTACAGATTCAACAAACGCGAAAACGATTATCTGGCCATAACATTACTGAGAAATGTTTAACCGTCGTATTCTAAGTTAAATTAATAATATTATATACATTTTACGAACACTTTATGAAATGTATTTTATTTAAATTATAAAATATTATTATAATTAATCAACTTTAGCCGTCATTCATTCAAATATTTTTCGATAGGGTTGAATGTACGAAATTAATTTGAAACATTTTTCAGATGTATAGGCATTATTCGTCTTAAATGAACGGAATTTAATTAATGTAGTTTTAGAGTTGTTTATTAATATTGTAATTATTTTTATAGTAGGATTATAAAAATACAACCAGGCTATCAATAAGTCGTTGCTTTTAATAACAACATATTTTGTAATGTTTTTTCTGTCTACAAAATAATGATTAGGAAATGCCAGTTTATCAATGAAGACGTAATGATGAAATTGAGGTCGTATAGGTAAATAATTTCTTATATTTGCATTGATTTTTATATGTAATTATATGAACAAACGGCCTCGATTTTTTATAACGGCTTTAATAGGCTCTATGCGTTTTATTGTGAATTTATTTTTCATTCTATCAATAATATTTTACGTGCTGCGGATGTCATTTAGAATTTATTGGATTAACTCATTTGGGTAATATGTATGCATTTTGATGTGTGCCGCTATTCATATATAAATGCAATAAACATAGACGTGAATTACTATAATCCCTGGTGTGTTAATAATATCACAATTGCTATAATCTCTGTAATTTAGCGCAGAAATTCGTCACGAGTAGAGTTTCCGCAGGGTATGTGCGGAATTTCGTAGTGCAAAATAAAAACGACTTGTTAAGCTGTTATAGTTCGGTTCGTCATATAATGTACTCTGTGAAACTGGCGTCCCAGTAATTATTTTTTTAAATTTTATACAAGTGCATTATTTTGAATTTTTGGGCATTATTGGGGCTTTAAGAGAGATATTGCGTTTCCGGCTTCTAAATTGATATGTTATTCGAAACGGAGTATTTTATGTTAGATATCAATAATTAAGGTTTGTTTGGCATACGCAAAATAACGCTAGTAGTTTGTTTCGTTTTTTTCTATGACCGGTGTCTTGGACCGATCCGTAGCGCGGAGGGTTGAGGGATATCAATAAAACGGGGAGTGGGGGAAAAAACAAATTTGGTATCGAACTATATTCCAAGTACTTTGCATTATTATCGCGGTATTATTTTTTTTAAAATCGAAATATAATATCCCTGTTATCGATCGGCAGATAGTGGCGGCGGCGGTGGCCGAGTTTCTAAATACCGCGTAACACCACGGTTATTACGCACTTTTGCATTTAGGCCGGTTTAGACGACGTGATGCATGGTATACCAGGGCGCGTTAAACAATATTATACCGCGGTTACTGTCATAATCTCCATACGGCTATTATTGGACGTACCCGCAACTAGTGTACAACGCGCGTATCATAAATACGTATAGGATAAACTATATTGTTAATATAATAAAACTAAAACGCCGTTGTACTCGTTCAAATATATTATTGTTACCTATTATTACTATTAGGTATTTCAACAGCTCCTTGTTGTTATAAACCGGCACCGCCGCCATTATACACCGCATCTACACCACACCTATACCACATCTACACCGTCTCCGGTCCCGTTGTCTCAAAGTGGTAGGGACTTATGCTACCACCGTGCGCCCGCGATGACGACCTATGAAGGGTCGCTCGATTTCGGGGTAACAGACGTCGTAAATCCCTGGGAGAGGACTCTACCGCAGTGTGTATACACGCTAAGTATAGGCACCTACGCACGTGCGCCGTATATATTATGTATACATATAGAGGTACACTATGCTCGACCGGGGTAGATAATGGATGGTTCACCGCGAGTCTCTGGGATTGTTGTGTCGAATGTCGTTGCATTATTTACGACCCCCTCGTCGCGCGTGTTTTAGCGTTAAGACCGACCGCCGGTATCTATATATACTATATGGCCACGATTTACAAAGACGAGCCCATGCGATTTAAGAGATTGTACCTACCCGTGTCGACCTAAATCTAATGATCTCGGTTTTCGGGTTTTTAAAACGTTTAAATTCAAAAAAAAAAAAAAAAATAATAATAAATAAACAAAAAGTGCACTTATAAAATGCAGTTTGACTCTGGAATAGCATATTTGTTCCGAGAAAAAAGGTCTCTTTCAATATTTTAATTTTTCAGGGCCTGGTGCCAGACTCCTATGATCCGTACTTAACCCGGTCCTGATCATAACAATTGATATCTATGAAATAACTCAGAGCTAATAATAATTTAAAAATTCATGAATTCAAAAAAGTCAATTTTTATCAATTAATCAAGCTTTATTTTGCCCTATAACATAGCTAAAAGATATTATACACAGGATTTCCGTATACACACGTATATCTATACATTTCAAGATTAAATAAATACTCGTAGTTATTGCATTTTTAAGCTTGTGTGAGGGGTGATACAACCATTTATATTCCCCACTTTTGCATGCTACTGTGAAAAACAAAAATTCCTAGTGAATTTTATTATTGTATTATCGAATCGTATATTAAATGTAAAACGGCGTTTGTCTGTATAGATGTTTCTGAATTCCGTATCCATTATTTTCTTTCTCTTCTTTTTTTTTTTTTTATGTTGATGTCCAAATAATATCGATTCTTCTGAGAGATGACACGACGATTTCGGGCATGTGTTTTCACGTGAAACCCGCCGGAAAGATATTGCGCTCATGGAATTAATGATAAAGGTGGTTTCTTGTCGAATTTCTACGAATTTTCTTTGCTGTTTATACCAACATTTTTCTCTTTTAAGGCCTTATCATTGTCCTTTATGTATGCCACCTAAATATATTATACAACGACAGCGACAAAATACACCCCGATAAAAACTATACTAAGTCCGACACTTGACGTGGCGTAAAAACGTATATATATAAAATCGATAACTTCTCTCAATATATTATCTAATATATACGTAGTCGAATAATATGTTTTGTGAAAAATCGTTTTGTTTATCGAGAGTGATTATTCGAAAAAAAAAAATGTACCCCGTGATAGTGTACTGTTTGTCATTGCATAATTAATATCACGTTTACATATATAAATGAATTTATCGCTGATATTTCGTTACATGTATTTAGTATAAACTTACGGCGTAAGAAAATGCAAACAAATGTAAAATTAAAGTATTTTACAAACCCGTTCAAGTATATTTGTTCAAAACTATTAATTACACTTGTGGTATAATATCGAAGGTGCGTTGTAAAATATTTCAAAATTATTATATTTTATCGTCGGGAAATATAAATACAAGTACCTATATATGAGTATACGGAATAAATATTATTTAAACCATTAATATTTGATTAATATACTAATTTCGAGGTTATATTTTAAAATCGCTGTCGTAGGTTTTTCCGATATTCTTGATATGTAAGCCGATTTATTCATGAGCAGATTTATAACTAAATCAATTTTTTGGTAATGCGGAGGGGGAAGAAAGAAGCTCAAAGATTTAACGGGAATTACGAATTTAATCCGTAAATACGAAGAAAAAGCTGCTTAAAATATTATTTCCAAATATTATATAGTACATAAAAAGTTATATTCATTTTTAAATTTCCATATATCCTACAAATAATAGTATAAACTGTATTATACTTTAGACGCTTCACAAATTTCTCAATTTCAGAATTTCACATTCTCAATAAATGACGCGTTTATATCTATATGAATTTTTTTTAATTTTTAAGCGAAATTTAAGTGTTTTTAAATTGTGATATTATACACACTTATATCTCGTTTAAAAATGAAAATTATGAAAAAAATGATAGTATGACACAGATAATTTTCTTATCTAAAAATTTGATATTAGATAAATTCATTCTAATATGAAAAATAATAGCACAGTCTGCTGAATAAGAAATTGCTATGTTTGACGAGGACAGCACATGTGAGTATGGCGTACTCTCATTATTTTAGTATCACGAATATGCCTTGAATAAATTACTGGATGGATTAAAATTTGATTAATAAATTAGTCCGCTTTTTGAAATTGTATTTATTATTAGAATAAAAATGTCTTAATTTATATGTATTCAGATGAGCTTAAAAAAAAACGAAAATAGTATGCACTTATTTTTGTATTATTTATGTTGTTGTATGTATTTTTTATTTATAAAAAAAACAAAATATAACTTGGAGCCGAGAAACTTATTTTTCTTCTTTTCTATTTGTTAT